GGTAGACAACATCTCCTGGTCCAGAAAGGCACTTTCCAGTCACCTAATTAGATGCACCACTGCAGAATGTTCCAGAAATGTGATGAAAATTCTTGTCTGCTTTCTGTCTATATTCTTACCTTCAAAACTTGGAGGCATAAAGGCCCAATACCTTTGTATTTATTTGCACACACCTTCCTTTTCTAACATACCTTTCTCTTGTGGTTTTCCACCATTAATACCTTCTCTGCTAACATGCACTAAACCCAGAAAGACCAAGAAAACTAAGGTCAGAACCCAACAGATTATTTTTAACAGTGCAAGTTGAGTTGGAGACAGCAACACCCTCTAAGGTGATGAGACTAACAAGCTTGGAAGACAAATTTACTGAGTTAAAGCAGACCAGAGCAGCATCTCAAAGCTGAGAGATCAGCCCTGCCTATGGTCCAATAACCCCAGAAAAAAATGGATCCTCTCCCTGTCTCAAGGGAATGTCAACTCTCCCAGAATAGAGGGACATCAGAAATAGCTTCCAAATACACTGAGGTGAAGCTAGCCAGCAGAAACAACCTTCCAAATAGCAGGCTGGTTGTCACTGTCTCTTCACGTAAGAAAGGCCAGCTGTCCCATCATGTCCATAAAGCCTGGAATATTCTTACCCTTAAATACTGCCCTGATGCCACAATCACAATATAGTGCCATGTTAAGCACCTGTATACAGTAGGTATTCAATCAAGTATGGGACCAGTTATCTCCAACAGATACTGTGAGTTATCGAAGACATTGTTTTTTCTTCTTACAACTAAACAGCATATTCGTGAGTTGCATACTTTTACCTTTTATCTCTGTTTTGCATAGAAAAGCAAAAGGACACAAGTGGAAGGCAAATTATTATATAGAAGAGAGAGGAGGAGAGAGTAGAATAAAGGCAAGAATGGGAGAGGGTAAAGGAGAGAGGCATGGTGCACTTGATAGGTTTACTATTTCTAATAAGACAACGAAGGAGGGAAACACTTTCATTTTCTTTTCTGACAGCTAAAGCATAAATGGTTGCTGCAATAACATCAAAAATTATTGGCTATTTTGAGCATTCTTGCTAGTGAGGCTCCAGAATTACAGCAAATTTTAAATATTGGCCCCAAGGTGCCACAGATAATTGGTTTTTCCAATGCAGGAGTTTCAGTTGCAGGAAAGGAGGCATTCGTGCTGTCTAGTGAATAGTATGCTGCCCAACACCATGTTTGGACAGCATCACCCTGCACTCTGGGTTCACGCTCAGCCACTTTTTGCAAACAGCGTTAGTCATAGTAGACGTTTCTTCCAGAAATGATCAAAACTGAGAACAATATTTACAAATCACCAGCCCATAACAGAACTCAATTTCTTATATACCGCCTCTACAGATGTTTCAAGAAACTTGTCTGGCTCTGAGGTATGTTGGAGCCAGTCAAGTCTCAAGGATTACTTATGACTCCAATCTAGTTAGCACCCATCTGAGGGGAGCATAAAAAGTCCCAGAAATAAGTGTTCAACCCTCATCATTTTACAACATCAAAGATGTCTTCAAATATATTGGACAACATCTCACTATAACCTCCTGGTTGTATAAAGGCAAAGAATTGATAAGGCAAATATTTCATCCATAACAATTTTCAAAGTGATATCTGACATCACATAAACTCTAGAGACCCTTTCCATTAAGCTAAAATCTACTTGCAGGATAAGCCAGACAGCCCTGATCACTAGGCGGTACTGCCATGTCCTGAAGCCTTTAGAGTGGCAACATTTACTCAGCCTGGCAATTATAGTTTAACATACTAAAGACTTTCTTCTGTAAAAGCACTATTGGGTAAAGTGCCTGCTACTCAAGCATAAGGACCTGAGTTCAATCCCCAGTACCCACATAAAGAGCCAGACATGTTAACACATGCTCATAATCCCAATGTTGTAAGGCAGAGGCTGGTGGATCTCTGGGGATTACTAGCTAGTCAGTCTGGCCTAATTGTCAAGTTCCAGGTCAGGGAAGGATGCTATCTCACAAAATAAAATGAAAGGCTCCTGAAGAAAGACACCTGTGGTTGACCTCTGGTCGCACACACACACACACACACACACACACACACACACACACACACACACACACGACTTCTGCATAGAAAAAGAGATGACTGCATTTGTTCACTCCTACAATCTGTATTAGGGTAATCACAATGGAGAGAGATACGTAGTATTCCTATGTATTCCACACTGGTAGCCATTTACAGTTCTGCATCTCTCCCCAGGGAGTTTCTAAGAATCATCTATGACCTATCAAGACAAAGTGGAAACAAAACACATGTGTCTTGAGTGCTATGAGGGACTGAGCAGAGAGTATTATGATGGAGGGAGGCAGGAGGAGAGGGAGAAGTGCCACAAATCTGTCCAGTTGAGATCACACTTTCAAGAATTGCACTTCAATGGTAAAGCAGACACGGAAAATTGGCATTAGTCTATAAAACAACAATTTCTCCCTCTGCTTTCTCAGCCATTATTGAGCAATGCCCTGTTGGGGCTAAGGTCTTTCCTGAATCTTTGGTTGACTTCCTGATTAATTAGTATTGTAACAAGAGCCTATTCCTTCATTAAAGGGGAGCTGTTGATATTTCCCAATACAGATTCACCCCACACACGTCTCCAATTACTTTGCTATTCATATAAAAAAAATGGTCTCCACAGAGAAGCTATCAAGTGCTAAGCCCACAGAAGATATGGTGCAAAGGTAAACAAAACAGAAAAGTCATGATGTCTGGCTGTATGTGTGCCAGCACAGAGATCATTTTACACAATGACTAGCAAAGGAAAAGGAGTCCAAATGTTTATGACCTATCTGGCATTATTTAAAAATTATTATTTATGTCACACACACACACACACAAATGTTCAGGCAATTCAGAAAAACATTAATCCATGGTTAGACATTATGAGTAAGATTTATTGAACTTAATTATTTTATCAGTCATGTTTCATCAGGCAACTTTTTTCCTGTACACTAAGTGATATGTGTCATTAACCCCTGGAAAGAAAAGCTAATCAGAGAAGGGTAAAATGAATATCATAAGCCCAACCAGAAATAATGCTGTTTTAAAAAAAAATGAAGTTTTATTGAGAGGCAGAATAGGAGGGATTGCTATAGCTCAAGGCCAGCCAGGGCTATATAGAGAGAGACCATGTCTCAACGGGACAAAAAAATTAGATTCTATCTATAGAATATCCATGAAGCCTATAAGCTTAAATTTAAAACTAATAGCAATTTGAGACTGTACATTTATAAAGTAAATTCAAAATTGCCGATCTGAGACTTGAGTACAGCAAATAATCAAATAATGATATCCAGGTCATCTGTCTATTGTGTTTAGATAAACAGGAAAAGAATGCAGCTGTGTTACTTAACAAACATAGCTTACTATCATCATTTCCCCTCTAAAAGCACAGCTTTCCATAATCCTAAAACAGATTATTAAATTCTCACATCTTCCATGTTACAATATTCAAAGTCAAGGCAAATAAAAGGAAATATTGCAATTTACTTTAAAGTTACTAGATGCCACCAGAATATTCTTTTTCTCTGGACCAACTCTTTGTATAAAATATACAAACATTCAGTTACTATATTCAGTGTCAGAATGGAATATTGATGACTTGGTTTAAGTGCAAAGGAATCTTAATTCATCCATTTGAATAAAAATTGAAACATTCAACTAGTGCCTTATTTTTCTTCCCTCTCATTCTGTGGTGTCCCAGAAACATCTGGCTGCATTTACAAGTATTCAGAATAATACTGTCCACAGCCTACAGAATAAGCAACTGGCATTATGTCTGGGCTCCATGTATCTGCTCTTAGGGTAATATCAATATCCCCTCCAGCACGTTCCTCACTACATTGTAATGTCTCTGGATCACACAGGTAGAAGCTGGGATTGTGCATGTGTTAAGGCAGCATTCCAACTTTCCTCTGTATTCACAATCAGCTCACATCTCAAGGATCTACACTCATCCTGGATGCATTGGGCTAATCAATGAATCAAAACCCTTAATGACATTCTTGACCTCAGTGTACTATTTCCAGTTGACATTGTCAGTGTCAACTAAAGAAACTTAAGCTGATACACACCCTGAGTAATATGCTTAAAAAATTAATTCCAATAAAAACTGCAAAAGGGAAAATCAACACAGAAGTTACATAAAGAATACTGCATCCTTAACTTTAGTAAGCTTGTTGATTACAGCCATCTTGAAGTTACCTAAGCAACCACTCTGAAACACATGCAAAACCCATGTCTACAGTTCAGTGTCTAGAAGTTTGTTGCTGAATGCATGGCAGAAATCTGTCATATATGTTTGTGGAAGCAGGAATCTGGATTGCACAGATTCATCTCTTGGGCATACAATACTAAAGTATAGATGCTATAGATAAAACCACAGAAATAATACAAAGTAAAAAAAAAATAAAAATAAAAAAAGGTTAAGACCAAAAGAAATAGAGTCATTTAGTTGTGAGTTAACTGATGAAATCATACATGCCTATGAGTATAAGGTGGCCTTGTTTTATTTCCAAAGTATGGTACACTTAGTAAATTATTATAATCCAAATGTTTGGAAGGGGTATTAGAAAAGGCCTCTGAAAATTACTAGGGATGGTATTAAATCAAATGGAACAAAATAATGAAATGAAGGCCAAACTTGCTGTGACTGCTAAGGTGACTCTAACGATCACCAAGAACTATGCCAGTATCATCTACTTCTTGTCACTTGGGAGAACCAATCATCTTCTAGTGTAGTACATAATCATTGATGATCTGGGAATTCACAAAACTGATAAATACTCTGATCCAAACAGAGGACATGAGGAAGAAAGGAAGGAAGGAAGGAAAGAAGGAAGGAAAGAAGGAAGGAAGGAAGGAAGGAACGAAGGAAGGAACGAAGGAAGGAAGGAGAAAGTGAGCTGACATTTCCCTCTTCCGAGGGAAGTGAAGAATTCTTACCTTTCTGTACACCAACATGTTGGGTGATTCATCTGCCACCCCGTTGCTGGTCTGTCCATAATTATTCCCCTGGGCCATTTCACCCAGCTCTTGGTCCTTCTGTTATAGGGATTATCAGTTTGCCCTGAAAAGGATTAGAGAGGCTCCAGTGAGATCCTGGTGGGAGTCCTCAAGGGAACAGACTCCCCTGACTCATCTTCATGCTCACAGTACCCAATCCACGGGGACAATTCTGTCATCCCCGGGTTGACTGGAGGACGTGGGAAATGGACTTTAAAAAAAGAAAAGGGGAAAGGAAGAAGGACTTTATAGCTGTAGTAGCCCCAAGGAATTTTAACTGACAACCTTCCAGTTAGAAATAGACATCTAGCTAAGGTTTCTGTGAACTTCATCTTGTGGATACTCTCTTATTAAAAGTGTTAGGTCCTCACTTAAAACCCTGAGGTTTGCACTTCCCTAGTACCTGCAGCTCTCTTGGATACATACTTCGAGCTCCAATTGATGTAGTTCTCCCCAAAAGGGAAAGCCAACACTCAGAGCAACCCACTTTCTCCCAGTAGCCCAGTAGTTTCCCACGACAGGCAAGTCAGAGGCCCCATCCCCACAAGTGTTCTCCACATCTCCTCTCCATCCTTCGGTCCCCCACACAGCCCGGGCATAGGCTTCTCCACTTTCACCTGCCTTCAATGCCAGCCAATGTTTCCTCTGCTGCCCCCACCTCACTCAGAGCCCTGAGTCTGGACCTAATCCTGAGGAATCTTTGGAAGAAATCATCCGAATTAGGTCCAGGCAACTGAGCGGATCACCTGGCTCACCGCGGAGAGCAAGCTAACTGCACAAGCCTGGAACAATCACAGAAAGCTGAGTCCCAGCTCATCCAGCTCGGCCCTGGCTCTCGGAGGCAGCAAATGGCAGGCAGCCTTGCCCGGCACAGAGGCACCGGCCACACCGGGCAGCAGTTTCAGCACCGTGGACCGCGGCGTGCGCAGCGCCCCAGCCCAGCCGAGCGCGCGGCTCCGGGGAACGTGGCTCCCGCCGGTGTAGGGTGAGAGCTGGGTGCGGGCCGGGGGATCCCAGGGACTCCGGGTGACGCTGCCTCCTCCCCTCCCGTCCCCTCCTTTTACCTCCTCGGCCAAGGTCACGGCCCCGCGGCTCCCCTCCGGGCGTGCTGCGGGCAGGCGCTGTCAGCTGGCGGCGAGCGGAGCAGCGAGGCAGGGCAGCCTCATCACACTCGCGCTGCTCAGGCCACCGCCACCCTCGCCGCGGTGCACAGGCGGCCCCGGCAGCCGCCGCTCGCGCCCGCTCCCCCGGGCCGCCTCGCTAGCTCCCTCCTCCGCTTCTCCTCCCGGGGACTGGGACCAGTCGAGCGCGCGCGGGAGTCGAGACGCCCGGCCCGTGCGCGCGACTAAGAGGAGGGAGGAGGCGACAGTCACGTGGCCCAGGGACGCTCGAAGGTGCCAGCTCGGACGGGCTCGGCTCTGCCGCCGCCACACCCCTGGGTGTCCCCGGTCTCCCGACCCCTCAGCCCCTCGGGAACACAGGCCCTGTCCTCGGCACTGACCAGCCCACGCTCCCACGCCCGGCCCGCGCCGCCGTAAGGCCTGGAGAGCCAAACTGAGCTAAGCAAGAGGAAGGGCTTGGGGTTGGGTGGGTGGGTGAGTGGGTAGATAGATAGATAAGGCCCCCTGCCGCTGACAGGGCTGCTTCGTGCGCCTGGCGACCCTTCTGGCAGAACTAGGGAAGCAAATGATTGATAATTTTTATACTTAAGTAACAGCACAGAGAGATGCTGGAATATCCCAGAATCGAAAGCAATGGCCAGGACCAAAATTCGGCAGTCTTTCTTCTCCTGTTTGCCTGTGGGTTTCATTGCACTCTCCTAAGTTGGAGAAACAGGAAGGAATTTGGAGGCTTCCACCTAAGGGGAACAATCTAGTCACCTGTGACATTGAAAGACCATGGCTGATGTCTGGCTGGGCTCAGAAGAACTTGGCTTCTGTTGGTCCTTGTCCTATACAGTGTTCACAGAATCACAAAGAGTCTGGAGTTGCTAATGCCCCTGAACTATTATTACTCTGCAGGTCCCTGCCACTAATTCCTCAAAGGTTAGATTGATATGAAAGAGAAAAGTATTTGTCAGCTTTCTGAACATTAGGAAGTTGTAGGGATCTGAGAATCCACCAGTTCCCCAATCTTTCCATTGTTTGTCAAAATGCACTTTGTTTCCAACTGTTTTGAGTATTTCCTTGGTATTCTTACTCTAGCCAAAAAGCTTCTCTCTCTCTCTCCACCCCCCATCCCAGCCCCCCGCCCCTTCTTTTTCCCTTTGCCCTATCTACTGTGGTTTAGATGGATAGATATGGAAAGAGGGACTGGATGTGCTCATCAGTTTGTCCTAAATGAAATGGCCTAAAGGAGTCTGCAAGGCTAGTTACAGTTGCCAGGAAACAACTAAGAACAACAATTCAATTCAGGAGACAACTCATCAACTCATAACATGTGTCCACTATGTAAGGGAGAAAATATATTTATCACCTTAAAATTTTCAGGATTACCATTTTTCAGACTGAGACTTAGGGAAAAAGCTTAGATCTCCCCAAATCCATCTGTACCTTAGATTTTAATATTTTCTTTCTTACTTTTCTCATGTAACAGAGACCTGTATGGTGTAAATAAGAAAAAAACATGGGTATTACTGGGCCTTTTTTCTGTTTCAAAACCATATATATAACATAATTCTCAATTGTAATTCAAATTTGTTTTTCTATTTTCTCTACGAACCTTACATGTTATAATTTTTGTTAAAAAATATAATTCTTGAATGTAGTAACATATCCATTTTATATGCCAGATGTAACTTCTGATCATCAGGCAAAAGACCTACCTGTAGCCTTATCATCACCAAAAGAAGACATTTTAAAGCTTTTTTTTTTCTTTATGTTTAACTTCAATAGTAGGGATATAACTTCACCTTGGGAAAGAAATCTAATTTTATTAATATATTTAAAATATCAGAAATAGTGCCTATTTCCTAGTAAATGTGTGCTTAGGCTTCTTGTTATTACCTACTGGTGTGGGCATAATTTTTTGTTCTGAAAGTACTTATTTATTTATAGTGAATGAAAGTTTATTTTATCTTCTACAAAGAATTTGAATAAGCACAGTAGGTATCCTTTCCTCAAGGAATCGCCAGTCAAGTTTGGGAGATAAGAATGTCCCCCTTTATCTCATGCCTTGCATGGAATCCAATCAACAGATTCCACGGAGACCATCCAAAGGGATCATTTCAAGTGCAAATGCTATGTAACTTCTATACCTAATGTCTCCCAAAAGACTTTAAGCCACTCAAAATGAAAGATGTCCTTAAGACACCAACAATGAGTAAGATCATGTGAATTTGCTGTTGCCACTTCTGAACTTGGTGTGCTAACCTGCTGCTCTAGTTTGTGTCTCATTGCTGTGATAAAATGGTGATCAGAACCACTTTGGGGAAGGAAAAAGAATATTTGGCTTGCAGGTTATAGTCTATCTTCATGGGAAGTCAAGGCAGAAACTCAAGGCAGGACCCTGGAGGCCAGAACTGAAGCAGAGACTATGGAGGAGCTCAGCTTAATGGCTTGCTTTTGCAGGCTTGCTCAGCTACAACTCTTATGTAGCCCAGGGCCACCTTTCTTGGGATGGCACCACCTATAGTGGGCTAGTCCCTCCTACAAAAATGCCCCACAGACATGGCCACAGGCCAAACTAATCTAGGCAGTTCCTCAATTGAGATGAATCTTGTTTGTGTCAATTGACAGAAACTAGTCAGCAAGCACACTTGGCTACTCTGCTCCAGTCACAGGGTTCCCTTGTTCCTTTATGCATTGTAAGTATGATGGTGCCTCAGGACACTTGCACTGGCTGTTCCTCCTCTCATCCCCCCTTCTGGAATGTTCTGCCTTCAGATGTTAGTTTTGCACTCCCATTCTTGTCTCAAAGGATACCCTCTCAATGAGGACTAGTATGTCAACCCTACATAAAATAACCCATCCTCCCTGACTCTTTTCACTTTCTTACACTAGTTCAGTGTCTGTTCCTTGTAACATGACTGCAGCTTGCTTATAGATTACAGTTACCTTTCTCTTCCTAGAAAATTTTAAGTACCATGATGGTAACAGACATTTCCTCTCCTGTCCCCTGCTCCATCATCAGACATGGAGGATGCGTCTGACAGAGTAATTACTTATGATCCCGATAATGGGGTGAGGCCATGAGCACTGCGAACCTCTTCTCAGACTGGAAGAACAACAGTCAAGAATTCTGAACTGAACTGGGGTGGCATCATGGGAAAGAACAAACCCCCCCTCCCCATCACATACCCACTTCACAGAGAAGTGCTCTGAGCACTAATTAAATGGTAACATGGAGACAGCATTTTTATTTTCGAGAAGAAAGCTCATTATCAATATGAGGCTATTCGCTTATGTGAAAACTTCGTAAGTGACATGGGGCAAGCAGAGAGGAGATCTGTGCTAAAGGGAATTCTATTCACAGCAGCCCATTGATGTTTTTACAAGATAATTGATTTAAAAGTGATATAAGGAAGTGAAGATATGAGGCTTTAGATCGCTAAGAAATAGCTTCTCTGCAATCAGCTTGCTATTATTTATAGCACAATAAACTCATGGTTGAATTATTCTCCACTTCTGCAATCCCTTTGGCCACTTTGTGGCCATTTCCCTGTTAATTATCCACACCAGTATCAGACAAAAGAGAAAGGAAAACTGGGATCTGTCCTTATTGTGTGTCTGCTCCTCTCACTTTCCTGCTGAGACATTTGAATTCTGATTTAAAGTAATTCCAAAATTACCCAGCTCTCCAATGTTGGCCACTTTCTGTTAATGCACAGTAATTGAGCACACGTTACCAATGAGACTCTGAATGGTGTTCAGAATAGAACTCAGGAAGTGTAAAGACTTGATGACACAGCACTAGGGAAGGCTTCCAAAGGCTGTGCCTTTGACTCCTTTGCTTAAAACCTAGAGAACAGCAAGCAAACAGCTTGATCAGCTTCATCTTCTGTTCCTTCATATATAAAATCAACTCATATTCTGGGTCTCATTTTGTCCTTCTTGAAAAAAAAAAAGAGCATTTAATCTGAGGTGTCTTCCTCAGTCTTCTATAGCAAATGTCTAAGCGAATCAGCTTATGAAGAGGAAAGGCTTGTGTATGCACCTGATTTTGGAGGTTTGAGTCTATAATCAGTTGTCATTTTTGCTTTTAAGCCTGTGGTAGAGGGAGTATGGAGCCAGTACAGCCTCTCATGTCTTAGAAGTGAAAAATATAGAAGGGACCTGAGCTCCTTTTGAGGCTGTCAGTGACTTAGTGCCCTCTCACTATGCTCTACTTCTCATGGCTCTACCACCACACCACAGCTCCATGCCTGCAATGCACAGGCTTTCAAGGGACATGAGCAATAGTGCACAGCAAATCAAGCTTAGAAAGACAGTCAACATAGATGACGTCCATATCAAGAGAAACAGTAGCCTAGAACTCCACAATCATTTCTTCTGGGAAGATGCTAGGAGTTTCTAAGTCTATAATCATTGAGAACATTATCCAACAGAGAGTGTGTTGCACTCAGAATGTGAAAACTGAGAGGTAATAACTACACAGTGAGAGAGAAGAGGTAGTGTCCATGAGGGATTGGAGAGCATGATTGATCACAGCAGGCCACCCTGGGACTCCCATCAAGTGACAGCCAAACTCAGCACTGGCTTCACAGGCAGATGACTCCTGGAGATGGGGAAGCACAGAGCACCCCAGCTCCTGTTTGGCTTCCTAATTCTTAGCAAGGAAAAGCAAACTGAAACTTTGAAATAAAGAAAGCCATAATTACTGTGACTAAGCGATAACAGTAAGAAGCTATAATTCAATGTGAATGGAGAAACTGGGCTTCCAAGACATGCTTACTTTCTCAGTGTTATAAACCTGGGAGAGTTCATCTGAAACATAACTCTATCATCCTTTAGATGCCAAACCTGGTGCTTCCCACACTGTGAAACGTCTCTCTCTCTCTCTCTCTCTCTCTCTCTCTCTCTCTCTCTCTCTCTCTCTCTTTCTCTCTCTCTCTCACAAAACTCTCTCAGAGTTTTGCCCTCAGAATTACCTTCTTTTAGCTAAGTCTAGGCAAAAAGCCCATTCACATGTGTAAGGGGGCAGAGCTACAAGAAGTGGCTTTTGTTATGGATAATAATGGGAGACCCATGGAGGTGTGAGATGAACCAAAGAAAAT